GGAGAGAGGGAGAGAGAGAAAAGAGGAGCCAGGGACAAGAACACACCCTTCTAGGTCACATCCACAGTGAGCTACCTCCAAACCAGGCCCCATCCCTAACAGCACACTTAGCTACTGAACTCATCAATGGGTGAATCCAGTAGTAAGGATAGTGCCACCATGATCCGTAAATTTCCAAACACATGAGACTTTAGGGAACATTTTAGATCTAAACCATAACATGATGGGATTTGGATATTCACCTTTTGGTCACCATCATAGTAATAACTGATTTAGAAACTAGTTATCAAGATAGGTAAATACCCCAATTCTTCATCTACTAGTGAGTAAAAGTTTATATGCCCTCAAGAATTGCCCCAGGAAATAGTAACTACAAAGGGAAAACAAGTATTCTACAGTAGAGAAAACTGGCATAATTATCTTACTTAAGTGACTAAATTTAATATTACCAATGCTGTCACAAAAAGTAGACATTGTACTAACCCGCTAGGACAAGAACATAAGATCACTATGGTAATATTTCTGCCAAAAACACATATACCTAATTGTGAAGAAAGAACAAGTAAATATATAACAAAGGACATCCTACAAAATGACTGGTCTTTATTTTTCAAAAACCTTACTGTCGCCGGACATGGTGGCGCACACCCATAATCCCAGCACTCAGGAGGCTGAGGCAGGAAAATCACTGTGAGTTGGAGGCCAGCCTCAGCTACATAGTGAGTTTAGGGTCAGCCTGAACTTCATAGCGAAACCCTGTCTCAAAAGAAAAATTAAATTTAAAACACTGTCACAGGGGTCAAGGAAGAACTGATAACTATTCCAGATGGAAGGAGACGGAAGAGAATTGACAGAAAACAATCTCTGATCCTGGATTGGATCCTTTTTCTGTAAGGAATGATTGAGACAATTGCCAACTTGAATGAGGTCGCTAGGTGAAGGGAATAGAGCAGTTATTCCTATTGTTCTTGCACCTTCTCTATAGGTTTGAAATTATTTCAAAATAAGATACAGCAAAAGCATTTGAAAAAACACATAACTCATTAATGACAGAAGACAGCAAATTAGGAGTAGAAGGGAACTTCCTGATTGAGAATAACTAATTTTTTTTTTTTGTACCAGGAATTGAACTCATCACCTCATGCTGGCCAGGCAAGCACTGTGCCACTGAGCTATATCCCCAGCCACAAATAACTATTTTTAAAAAGGAATAAATTTAGCAAAAATTTTAGGTTATATATTGAAAACTATATAGGATTGCAAGGGAAATTAATTAAAATATAAATAAATGAAGATATAGAACTTTGTCATAGTTTGGAAAACTCAAATTGATCTGTAGAGTCAATGCAATCCTGATGAAAATCATAACATAGTTTTTGAAAGGAACTGACCAGCTGACCCTAAAATTTGTTGAAAGGATTTTCAACAAATGCTTAGAGAAACAGCAGGGTTCTTTATGAAGAAAAATCAACCTTTATCCTTACATAATTTCTTATATGGAAAGGTAAAGAATAACCAAAGTAGGGCTGGGGATATAGCTCAGTGGCATAAGCGCCTGCCTGACAAGCACAAGGACCTGAGTTCAATTCCTGGTACCAAAAAAAAGGAATAACCAAGATAATTCTGAAAAAGGTCAGCTTTGGAGGAATTACTCTGTCTGATCTGAAGACATTCTATAAAGTAAGTGGTGTTGGTGTAAGAATAGTCACATGGATTTTGAGTCAGCAAATCATAGCCGAGGGGCCAGATCCTGCCACCCACCTTTTTCTTTTATAAATAAAAGTTTATTGAAACATAGCCATGCCTATGCATTTACATATTATCTATGGCTATTTTCATGCTACAACAACAAAGTTCAGTTGAGAAAGTGGCCCACAAAGTGAAATACTTACTATCTGATTTTTTCAGTTCCTGTACTTATATGGGCAGTTGAGTTTTGATAAAGGTGGCTGCATAATTCAGTGGTGGAGTGGATTTTCAATAAATGCTTCTGGAGAAACAGTGGAGCTCTTTACAAAGAAAAATGAACTTTTATCCTTGCCTCATATCAGCCAAAAATAAATTATACTACTTAAAAAGTACTCGTAGTTGGGCATGGTGGCACATGCCTGTAATCCCAGCACTTGGGAGGCTAAGACAGGAGGATCGGTGCAAGTTTGAGGCCAACCTGGGCTACAAAGTGAGCTCAAGGCCAGCCTGAACTGCATAGCGAGACCCTGTCTCAAAAAAGACAAAGAAAAAAAAAGTACTCTTAATAGTGGAATAAAACATGGACACGTGGATGAATAGAATATAAATGAGAGTACAGAAATAAAACGATACATCTATGGTCAACTGATTTTTCAACAAAGATGCCAAGATCACTTCATGTGGTGAGGGTAGTCTTGAACAAATTGTACTGAAACAACTGGATATCCACACATACAACAGTGGGTCTGGATCCCTGTTGCACATTATATATACAAATTAACTAAAAATAATTAAAACCTAAATGTAAGAGCTAAAACTATAATCCAGTTTAAAAATGAGCAAAGAATTCGAATACACTTTTCTCCACAAAAGATAGACAACTGACCAATAAACACATGAAAAGATGTTCAGTGGGATTAGTCTTTAGAGAAATGCAAATAAAAATTCGTTATGTACCACTTCAAACAACTAGAATGGCTGTATTTTTTAAATTTTTATTAGTATATCTTTCATTTTTATTTTTTAAATTTTTTACTTTTATTAGTACATCTTTGCAGTACATAATAATTACATTCTTTGTGGGAAAATGTTCATAGTAGCATAATTTATAATTTATTATAATAAATCATAATTTATTATAATCATGTAGCTATATTTCAAATGTCCATCCATTGGTGGCTAGATAAACAAAAAGGAGTATGTCCATACAATGGAATATTATTTACCCATAAAAAGAAATGAAGTATTGATGTATTCTATAATATGGATGAACCTTAAAAATGTTATGCTGAATAAAATAATCCAGACATAAAAGACCACATATTATACAATTCTATTTATATGAAATGTCCAGAACAGGAAAATTTAGAGAGACAGAAAATAGGTTAGTAGTTGCCAGAGGGTCAGGTATGGGTACAGGGAATCTTCCTTTCTTTCTTTTTTTTTTTTGAGACAGGGTCTCACCATGTAGTTTAGGCTGGCATTGAACTCATTATGTAGCCCAGGTTGGCCTCAAACTCATGGTGATCCTCTTGCCTCAGTTTCCCAAGTGCTGGGATTCCAGGTGTGCACTAGCATGCCCAGCTCAGGGATTGTTTTTCAGGTGATAAATGTTCTGGAATTGATGGTTGGAGTTGAACAACATAGTTATTGAATATACTAATAACTACCAAAATGCGCACTTTTAAATTGTGGTAAATTTTATGTTCTGTGAATTATATGTCATTTTTATTTAATTGTTTTTATCTGTCATTTTTAAAAATAGAGGCTGTGAGTGTAGCTCAGCAGTAGAGCACATGATCCTCAGTTCAATCTCCAGCACCGTACACCACCCCAATTTAAAAAGGAGCTAAAACTAAGCTAGGAAAAAAATGTCAAAAACTTTATGATATTGGGTTAGACAGAAATTTCTTAAATGGGACACAGAAAACACAAACCATAAAAGAAAATGTGGGTAAATTGGATTAATCAATATTAAGTCTTATTGTCAAAAATGGAGTTAAGAAAATGAAAAAACAAGCCACAGACTGGGAGAAAGTTGCTAAATATGTATCTGAAAAAGGATTTAAAATATATAGAGAGCACTTACAGTTCAATAATAAAGACAACTCAGTTTAAAACTAGGCAAAATATTTGAGCAAGTATCTCACCAAAAAAGATACATAGATATCCAGTAATCACAAGAAAAGATGCTCAGCATTACTAGTTATCAAGGAAATACTAAAAATACAAAGAATTAGCTACTTTACAAAACCTATATACCAATAAATTGAAGAATTTGGAAGAAATAAAATTCTAGATACATATGAATTACCAAAGTGGAACCAAAAGATATGAAAACCCTGAATAATTCAATAATAGTAAAATTGAAGCAGTAATAACTTTAAAATTGAAGCAGTAATAACTTTAAAAAATTACCAATTAAGAAAAGCCCAGGTCTGAATGGATTTATTGCTGAATTCTACAATAACTTCAGGGAAGATCAACATCAATACTCCTCAAGCTCTTTAGCGAAATTGAAAGGGAAGGAGTACCCCCAAAGTTATTCCCAAAAGCTAGCATTACCCTGACTCTAAAATCAGACAAGGATCCATCCAAAAATGAGAACTATAGACTATATAGATGCAAAAATGCTCAATAAAATACTGGCAAACTGAATACAGCACATCATCAAAAAGATCATACCTTACAATCAAGTAGGCTTCGGCCCAGGGGTTCAAGGATAATTGAAGACATGCAAATCAATAAGTGTAACACATCACACAAATAGAGGCAAGGACACAAATCACATGATCTTCTCAATAGATGCAGAAAAAGCCTTTGACAAAATCCAACATTCATTCATGTTACAGACCCTGACGAAAGTAGGTATAGAGGGGGACCTTATCTCAATTAGATAAAAGCCATTTATGACAAACCTACTGCCAACATCATATTAAATAGGGAAAAACTGAAAGCTTTCCCTCTAAAGCCCACTATCCCCACTCTATTTGAACATAGTACTCAAAATATTATCAAGAGCAGTTAGGCAAGAAAAAGAAATAAAAGGGATATGTGGAGGAAAGGAAGAAGTAAAATTATTATTTCAGATGATGTGATCTTTTATACAAAAACCCAAAAAAATCCACCAAAAGACTCTTAGAGTTAACAACCAAATTCAGTAATGTAGCAGGACCCAAAATCAACACACAAAAATCAATATTGTTCCTGTACACCGATAAAGAAACTACCAAGAAAGACATTAGGAAAAAATGCTATTTACAGTAGCAATAAGAAAAATTTAAAACTTAGGAATTAACTTAAGTAAGGAAGTGAAAGACCTCCACAAAGAAAACTATAGTACTGTGAAAAAGGAAATTGAAGAGGACATCAGAAAATGTAAATGTTCTTGAATAGGCAGAACCAATGTAGTCAACATGGCCATATTTGCAAAACTGATACACAGATTTAATGCAATACCAATAAAATATCAAAAGAATTCTTCACGTAACCAAAGAACTTTAAAAACTCAAATAGTAAAAAGCCAAATAACACAATTTAAAAATAGGCAGACGATCTGGATACTTCACAAAGACAATATACTGATGGTAAATAAGCACATTAACTGATATGCAACATCCTAAGCCATTAAAGCAGTACAAATCAAAACCACAGTGAGATACAATTATTACAATTATACAGTTAATCCTGTTGGAATGGCTAAAATAAAATGCACTGATAATAACAAGTGATGACATGGACAGATCAACTGAGGCTCTTACATGCTGTTGTTGCTAATGTGAAATGGGACAGTCATTCTGGAAAAGTTTGGCAGTTCCTTAAAAAGTGAAACATATACTTAGCATATGACCCAGCAATTGCATTACTAGTTTTTACCCTAGAAAAATGAAAATTTATGTTTACAGAAAAATCTACATACAAATGGTTACAGCACTGGAGACTAGAATCAGAAACAGTCCAATGGATGAACAAATTGTGGTGTTTTCATATAGTTCACTCTGTTGGGTAATAAAAAGGAATGAGCTATCATTACCTGCATCAGTTTAGATGAACCTCAAAGACCTGCTGAGAAAAAAAGCCAGTTTCAAAAGGTCACATACTGGATGATTCTATGTTATTACATTATATTCCCCAAAACAGAGCTATAGTAGTAGAAAGCTGGTTAATGATTGCCAGGGTTTATGGCTGGGGGCTGTAAAGCAACAACATGAACGTTATTGGGATGATACAGCTATTCTGTACCTTGGTTATACTTGTGATTGCACAAATCTGTACATGTTAAAATTTATAGAACTATATGCTTAAGTACAATACTGTATGTTAATACAAAGGATGAAATCCAAATTTTAAGTGGGGCCTTTAACAAGTTTGCTGTGAGGATTTGCTATAAAACACTTACTACCAAACATGTAGTAAACAATCAACAACATGTTTAACTGTTATTATTAATGTTTCAAATTATGGGATTTTTCTCCCCCTTAAAACTTTTTTTTTTTTTTTGGTCTTTTTGAGACAGGGTCTCACCATGCAGTTCAGGCTAGCCTTGAACTCACGTTGTAGTCCTGATGGCCTCTGACTCATGGCAATCCTCCTGCCTCAGCTTCCTGAGTGCTGGGATTACAGGCCTGTGCTGCCACGCCCAGTTCTCCCCCTTAAAACTTAATTAAATACAGTGGAAATGCAAACATTAAAAAGGGATGCTCATTGACAGGGAAACACATTCATGGAGTGTGGTGGTATATAGTTCTTCATAAGCTTGGAATCAAGTGTTGGTAGAGTGGGAACAGGGAAGTCTCAGGGGAAGGGTGGCCTGGGAAGATGAAGCTGACTGTTGGGACCAACCCTGCCAGGCTCCTTCAGGCCAGCTGACAACACTCACTGTGTGCTACTTTGTCGTGGCAGTTTGCTGGGATGGAGTCGGGCTATGCGTGCTTCTGTGGGAACAACCCTGATTACTGGAAGTACGGGGAGGCAGCCAGCACCGAGTGCAACAGCGTCTGCTTCGGGGATCACACCCAGCCCTGCGGGGGTGATGGCAGGATCATCCTCTTTGATAGTGAGTATGCCTTGTGCTTGTCACTGCCTAAAACACAGAACTCTTGGAGGGCAGCGGACCCTGCCTTCATTTTTCCCTCCCTCTGTTTTTCCCTCCACCCTTTCTTCCCTTCTCTGCTTCCTTCCCTCCCACGTATTCATTCATTCACTTATGGAGCACAAGGCAGCCCAGGCACTGCCCAAACCCCGGGGATACAGCCCAAACATGCAGGCTCAACCTGTCCTCTAAAAAGAAAAATGCATGTTTAAAAGTAATAGGCCACAGTTGTGTTGAGTGCTTTGAGGAGCTGCTTAGACAACCTAGAAAAGACAACTCTTCCAATTTTACATAGACATGGATATGACTGTTCAGTACCAGCTTTAATATCATCTGTTTTAATACAATTTTCAAGCCTGATTAGTGTGTTTTCAGGCATTGGGGACTTATATTGTGAATTTATGTCTTACTGTGATGCATCTGGGAATGCAGTATATCCTATGAAGTGTTTTTTCAGGGCTGACTTCGAGTTTCCCTTGACCCGCCTTCTGTCTGATTTACCAGTTTTGTGACAGGCCAATCAGGGGCAGAGTTTGTTTGGAATTGGTTGTGATCCCAGCATTGATCTCTCCAATGCCATGTTCTCACCCCATAGCCCCCTGAGTCCTCACTGTAACCCATTCACACCTACTCAGTGGTAGTGAGACTATGAGAATCACAGTACCAGTGCAGCACCCTATTTTAAGATAATAGAAAGGAGAGTCACAAATGAGGCAGACAAAGGAAAAGGGTTGAGATTACATGGAAGTATCCACAGTGTCATTTTGGAATTTGACTCCTGACAGCTCCACCAGGTAGAGTGGCTCAGTTTTGAGCAAAACTATCACATTAGTTTCATAGGGCCATCATAACAAAGTATCACAAACTGAGTGGCTTAAAATAACAGCAATTTATTCTTTCACAGTTCTGGAGGCGAGAGGCCCCACATGAAGGTGTCAGTAGAGCTGTGTTCTGTTTTGAAGGCTCCAGGGAGACTTTCCCAGCTTTGGGCGTTGGTCTGCCATCCTTGCATGTGTTGACTATAGCTGCATCACTCCCTCTGTTTTCTTCACACAGCCATATTCCCAGGTGTACATCCATGTCTCACTGTCTCCTTATGAAGATACCAGCCATTGAATTTAGAGCCCATCCTAATGTAGCATGACCTCATTTTAACTTGATTACATCTGTAAAGACTCTATATCTAAATTAGGTCATATTTACAGATACCAGGTGTTAGAATTTGAGCATACCTTTTTGTAGGACCACAATTAACCACTACTTATAGTAGCTATACATCCCAGCTCAGATTTATAACAAAGCCTTTGCAGGTTTTAACTTAGATATTGAAGTATATGGACATTTGTGGTTTAGAGAAAGGGTGAACAGAACTCTTGTTGTCAATTATTGATCTTTTAAACCAACTGTGCTTCTTGGAGACTGCTGGTACCTTCCTATACATCCTGGGATGTCATGTCAAGACAGATGCTCAGTTTGGTATTCTGTTGTGGCAAAGACTGAACTGTGGCTAATGATTAAGGAAACTTGCTAATGTTTAGTTGGCAGATAACCATGCACTACTCATCACCCTGGAGTTCATCAAAGTAAGATTTGGTACCTTGACACCCTAACACAAGAGAGTATGTTTGCTGAAATTCCTGCTTTAGCCTTAAGCCAAAAGAGAGGAAATAAACATTTCTTGAATACCTCATAAGAATTAAGATTTCCTGTAATCACGTTAGTCTTCCCAGTACCCACAAGATAGATTTTGTTATGACCACTGTCATTTTGTAGAAGAGACCCATAGGACATGGAGGTCAATCACTTGCCAAAATTTATACTGCCTAGAAGCCATGGAATTAGTGAAGAAACAGGAGCAGTGGGGCTGGGGATTTAGCTTGGCGGCATAGCACCTGCCTGGCAAGCGCAAGGTCGTGAGTTCAATTCCCTGTACCGGAAAAAAAAAACCAAAAAAAAAAAAAAAAGAAACAGGAGCAGAGCTTGTGGGCTTGCTACCTGTTTTTCTACTTTAAATCAAATGTAGTATTAATTAAAAGATGCAACTGCTCTATAAAATAGTCTGGCAGTTCCTTAAAATATGAAACATATATGACCTTATAAACCAACAGCTCTACTCCTAGCAGATCTATGAGACAGTTGAAAGTATGTCTGTCAAAAAATAATACCTGAATGTTCATAGCAATGTTATTCATAATAGCCAAAATGCAGCAACCCAGATATCCATCAGCTGATGCATGAATAAACAAAATATGGTTTGTCCATACAATGGCATATTATTCAGCCATGAAAATAAGTGAAGTCCTGATAAATGCCACAACATATATGAACCTTGAGAATGTTATCCTAAATGAAAAAAAAAAAGATGCAAAAGGCAACATATTATATGATTCCATTTATTTAGTGTCCAGCCCAGAAAAAAATCATAGAAACAGATTTGTGATTACCAAGCGCTAAGGAGAAAGGATAAATGGAGAGTGACTGCTTAATGGGTACAGATTTTCACTTTTAGATGGTGAAAATGTTCTGGAATTAGATACCAGTGACAGTTATTCAACATGATGAATATACCAAATACCACTAAATTGTACACTTTCAAATGGTTAAAATAGTGAGTTTTTGATCAATAGAAAAGTTGATCGAATACTATAGTTTTTATAGGACAGTCTTTAGTTAGCACATTTTATTGAGCATCTGCTATGTTGCAAATCAAATTATGTTTTAATGTAGTGTCTTTCCTAGAGATGCCAATGGAAATAATTTGGTTTAAAGTCAGTCACATTAGTAAATATCATCTTTGGTACTGGAAGTGCATGCAGGAGATAAAAATTAATTAGGTATAATGAAAATAATTGTATTTATTGAGTGCTTGTTGTGTGCTAGGCTTGATCCTGAGTGCTTTTATGTATTTTATGTTAGCTAGTCCTTGCAACAACCCTATTGATAAGAAAACTGCAGATTAAAAAATGAAGTAATTTCCCCAGCTAGTAAGCAGCACAACCAAGATTCAAACCCAGGTTTTTTTCCCCAAAGTTATTTTTTTAATTAGCATATGTTTGCAATACATGATAGTTGTTCATCTTGGAGAACTGCTATGTGCATATAACAGGTCTTGATTATTTTCTGTGTTTTTATCCTCTCTGCCTTACTTCCTCCTCCCCGATTCCTTTTTCTAACTCCAAAACATACATTCTTATTTCCCATCATTTCTTCTTTAATTAATTAATTAATATTTTAGGTTTGTCATAAAACAGATAAAATGAGATATGTAACAAACTTCTCCTAGCATAGCCTCAAGTTCTAGTCATTTTCCTGCAAAGACATGATTTCATTCTTCTTTATTCATCTATTGATGGGCATTTAGGTTATTTTCAGAGCTTAACTAAGTCACAGTTTTAGTTTTCTATTTTCAGCAGCTAGAATCCTTTTATTAACAAGAATAAACTAGATCCAAATAACTGATCCAAAAGTCTGTGAACAGAATGTGTCTGGGTGTTCTGATTATTATCACATCAGCTCCTCATGCAGCTCTGCAGAAGCAGTCCTTTTTTTTCATACTAGCAAAATACTTTTTTTTATTTTTATAATGATAAAACAAAGAAAGTAAAAACTTATTTTTGGTGTATTCCAGAGTTAAGGGAAGTAGAAGAGTAAGGGGACTAATAGGATTTTTATGTACTTATAATGACCATAAAATGTTATCCTAGCACACAGGAGGCTGAGGCAAGATGATCACTGTGAATTTGAGGCTGAGTTCAAGGCCAACCTGAACTACATAGTGAGACCCTGTCTGAAAAAGACAAAAAAAAACCAAATGAATGACCATAAAATGTTAACAATACCAGTGGTTTGCCATAAAACTTGTAATAGTGCCCCAAAAATAGATATATAAAGGATCCTGGTTTTAAAATCTATAAAAGTAGAAAAAATAAACAGAAGCTCTAATGCTTATTCCATCTTCAGTATAATATTATAAACATTTATTTACACAGAGCTCATGTAAATGACAAAAGTCTAAGTACCATTTTTTTTTTGAGTCTTGACTCTCAGAAGATAACAATGTGCACAGTAGCAGTCATCTCCTCCCCTGACTCCCGAAATCCAGATCTGTAAATAAAGCTTTGGACAACTCTATAGAAAACCCAAATAATCACATTTTCTGACACTGCAGCAAGTGAAGAGCCCACGCTGTGTAGCCAACTTGGGTCTAAACCTGACTGCAGAGGCTAGGAAGCACCTTGGAGGACAGAGGCAGGAGGCAGGCAGTAGCTCAGGGAAATCAGGAGAGGAACCAGGATCCAAAATTGTGGGCCTGTTTTTGGTAGAAAACCCACTGGATTTACCCTCTTCTGAGATTGGGGAATTTGTTCAGAGGTGGAGTCTTCACTGGCTTTATGATTCATCCCTTCTTTGAGAGCTAAATAGAGTATCTGGAGAATGCAGGGAAGGTAGTTAAAAGGGAAATGGCCCAAACACTATCAGTGGTGGCAAGTGGAGAAGCTGCTGCATTTGGCTGCACCCACCCAAGGACTGAGAAGGCTGGCCGCCTCGGTGCTGCCTACTCCGGTCTTTAGGGGCCAGGATATATGTGGTCTGGCAGGAGGCCTTAGCAGTAGCCCACTCATCCTGCACAATGCAGCACCACAGACTTAGCCTCTATAGTTTCATCTACTAGAGAGTAAAATGGTTTAAATAGCTCAAGTACCGTACATGCATGTGGGAATTCTTATGATCCATAGGCTGAGGACTTTGGTGATGTTGGGACTATAGGCCTGGGATGTGGGGATTTTGTTCTGTTTTCCAGAACATGAAGCTCTGTTTTTGGTTTTTAGCAGATATTTTTGGTATGTTTTCTTTTGTTTTTTGTTTTGACTTGGATTTGCTCAGATTTTTAGATCTGTGTTTTATCACCATTAATTGATTTTGGAACATTTTTTTGCCATTATTTCTTCAAATGTTTCTTCTGC